GTATCGGGAGTACTGCCGGGCTCGGGCTCCTCGGAGGGCTCAGGAGTACTGCCGGACTCAGGCGCCTCGGTATTATCGGGAGTACTGCCGAGTTCGGGTGCCCCAGAAGAATCAGTTGAAGTATCACCACCAGAATTGATTGGAATTAAACTTGTGCTGTCCTTGTCATCAAGTTGATTCTCAGGCACCTCAGACGCGCTGGCAGTAGTTGAAGGAGAGGCTGTTGTGATTTTGGTTAAGGGAACAAAGAAGACAAGTGTCAGAAGACAGTGCTTGGGTAAATAATGGCAATACTGTCATTTCTAATCAGTACTCAACTTAGGATTTTCTGGAAAAATGAATATATATGATTATGTTAGAAGTGGAAACACAGGACTACTTCTTTTCCAAAAACAATTTATTTATCTTTGTTTACGTTGGAGTTTTGCCTGCATGTATGTCTATGTGAGGATGTCAGATCTTGGAGTTACAGACAGTTGTTAGCTGCCATGTGGTTGCCAGGAATTGAACCCAGGTCCTCTAGAAGAGCACTCAGTGTGCTCTTAACCACTGAGATATCCCTCCAGTCCCTACATGACTACTTCTAAACACACACAAAAAATAAATAAAACTAAACAGGCAAAAATAGAAAATATTGAAAACTCTGACACCTAATGCAGCTTAACAATGGCTATGGAGAACTTAGTGTAGAGTTGGAGTGATAATGCTTATTATGAAGAGTACCGAGTCAGGGAGATGTATATGCCTGTGGAGGCCAGCCTGGGCTACATGTATCAAAAATGAAAACGAAAACAAACAAACAAAAATGCTGATATAAGTACCTGAACTTTGGCGACAGAAGGAAGGGGCTCGGGATTTCAAGGTCATCCTTTGCTACCTATCAAGTTCTGGGATAGCCTGAGCTACAGAAGACCATATCCCAGTAGAAAAGAGATTAGTACCAAGTAATGACAAAATTTTTATCTATAGTTGGGAAACTGTCAATCTGTGTTTAATAAATTCCCAGACAATTCAGAAGAAGACAATTAAAAGTGCCACAAGGTGGCGCTGCTGTCACCAGAAAGAGGATTTTTGTGGCTTCCTCTATTTTAAGGCAACTGCCCCAGTTCTCTGATGCATAGCAGTTTTCTCTGTTGGTAGACTGTAGAAGGGGAACTTTAGAAGGAAGTGTTTAAAGAATAATTACATAGAATGTGTAGAAATACTTCATTAAATCCTGATTAATGTTCTTCCAGGATTTGTTTTTGTTTTTGTCTTTGTTTTGAGACAGATCTCCAGCTGTCCTCAAATTCACAATCTTTCTGAGTGCTAGCCCAGGTTTTATTCTGGTGCATTTGTCCACAAAAAGAGTCTAGACACATCTACTTGGAGAGAATAATATAAATAAGTGGTCCTCGTCTAAAGACTATGGTAGATATCAAAGCTGCATTCGTGGCTCCTAGAACACCCAGGGTGCTTGGAAGAGTGACTTTTAGTGACCCACTTCCCAGAACTCCTCTTGTCTCTAAGAACGCTGATATTGACAACAGATTATACAAGTTAGTAAAAGAAACCGTTTGTGGGGAGGAAGCAGCTCCTGCACCCTGTGACACAGAATGCACAGAGCACAGCCTGGCTCTTCACTTTGGATAGGGCTTGACTAGTGGCTCGGAAGTGACAAGGAGATAAGTGATTGTTCTCCTAGGGCCAAGAAAATAGTCGCTAGCTGGTCATAGTCACATGTGGACACTACTGCCCTCTCCTAGAATGTTCTCATTTATCAAGGGCTTACTCTGTGCCTGACGGGACCTATGAGACAGGTATAAATGCCCACGTGTGAAGAACCTGTTAACATGGGGTCAAGATGATCTCTTTCTCTCTGAGATAGGGTTTTTCTGTGACTGCCCTGATTGTCCTAGAACTTGTTCTATAGACCAGGCTGGCCTCAAACTCACAGAGATTGGCCTGCCTCTGTCTCCCAAGTGTGGTGTAGGAGGGTCTTCTTTATATGTGTTGCTTTCATTGGTCGAATAAAGAAAACTGTCTTGGCCTTTTGATAGGGCAGCCCTTAGATGGACGTAGTAGACAGAATTCTGGGTGGAAGAAAGCAGGGTCAGAGAGAGCTGCCATGGAGCCAGCCACCAGGTCAGACATGCTAAATCTTTCTCGGTAAGCCACAACCTCGTGGTGACACACAGATTATTAGAAATGGGTTGAATCAAGATGTGAGAGTTAGCCAAAAAGAGGCTAGAACTAATGGGCCAGGCAGTGTTTAAATTAGTACAATTTCCGTGTAATTATTTTGGGGGTTAAGCTAGCTGGGCAGTCAGAAACCGGATGGGAACGCAGTCCACTGCCCTCTTTACTACAGAGTGGTGCTCCAACGTAGTAACTAAATCCATGTAAAACCTAAGAGAGCTTAAAAGGAAAAGAGAGTTTAACACAGCTTTTTGCTGTTTGCTAGCGGGTTTTCCTGACTCAGCAGCCATAAAAAAAAAAAGCCACGCCATTTTAAAACAAGGCTTTCTGGGCCCTGCCGCTGGTGCAAACTCTGGCTCTGGAGCATTTGTGGGCCCACTCGGGGTTGGGAACAAAGTAGTTGAGACCATGCCTGTGGCTCAGCTCTTCCTGCCTGCTCTACTAGAAAGTGGTGGTTTTGAAATACCAGTTTCTGGGCTGTGCCGCCATCGCGACCTCTGGCTCCTTTGGGAGACAGAGCATTTGAATGGGGTTTTGTGAGTAAAGTGCTAAGACTTGCTTGATGGCAATGTGGACTGCTGTGTGCCTGTAACTGTGCGTGGCTCAGGGGCACCAAATGGCTCTGAGGCGCAAGGGGCTCTGCCATGTTGGACTGGGCGGGGCAAGCTTGTAGTACCTGTTTTTGACCTAGGAATGTCACAGCTTAGATTCTTAAGTGCTTAGTGATTTAAAAGTACAAAGCAAAAATGTTTCTGGACAGCAAAGAGTTACAGACAATGCAATAGGACAGATTCAGACACAAAAGACCTCTAAATGGGTCATAGTGTTAGATAGACATACATAGGCTTGGGAGAGAGACGAAAAAGAATACAGAGAATAAAGTTAATGCCTTTAAAAAAGGGGGGGAGGGGTAAAGTCTTCAAAGAGACAGAGTACAGATAGTTATAGATTTAAAGAAATAAAGAAAAATAAGTCACACAAAATGGAAAATTCACACAGAGTTTGGATTCTGTATATTATTATATTTTCTTTCAATTTTTTGACTGTGAAGGAGCTAAATACAGAGAGACATTTCATTGTATGGTCTGCTAAGCTAATCCAGCATGTGTATTATAAAGCTATCTTGACTTCAGAATTTGGATCCAAGGATATGATGCTTTGGAAAAGAAGTTCTTTTTTTTTTATTCACAGAGGATGAGACCTTGTGGATTTTTTTCTATCCCAATATGGTATAATAGACCATGCCCTCCTGAAAGGTTGCCATGAACACCCTCAAAAAATTGCTTCACTCAACTGCCAACTGAGATGAACCTAGTACACAGGATACACCATGAAAGACTGATTAACAGTGCCCCCATACAGCAGGAAGAAGTTTGAAGAGAAATAACTATGTACATATTTCCAAATATTGTTTATAAATATTCTTTTACATTTAAAGGGGGATATGATATAGATATGAATAATTTGCATTGATATAAATTTTGCATTGTTGATATAAATTTAAGGCCACTCTTGTTATATGTATATTTTTGCTCTTGATTAAGGTATTGTAATTATGTAATTCATTTAAAAATGTAGTGTATAATTAGGAAATATAGGTTGTTAATGGATAATCATCAATAATAGTCAAGCTTGTAGTCATGTTAGTTAGATTTTCTAGATATATAGAGATATGTTTCAGTTAGATAGGCATTCTGCATATCTTTCAAAGACTACAGAATATGGTATTTAATGTTTTAATAACTTAGGGCTTTTCATGACAATGAGACACATCTGCTCCTGGCAGCACCAAGAAGAATGGGCATCGAAGAGGCTCCTTATGGAGTTGGTTAGCCATTTGGGTAATAAACTGCTCTTGCCTGAACTGTTGCATAAACTGGACATAAAGAACCCACAGAGAGAGGACTGCTGAACTTGCCTAAAGGTGAGATGATCCTTCAGGGTTCCTGATTCATAAAAGAGTCTGTGAGACTTTCTGCAGGACACAGAAGATAGTGCCTGAACTGTATTTGAAATTTCCTGCTTCACGGAAATGTCTGCTGGATACTATGGGCCTATAGGCTAAAGATGGATGCCCCAAAGGTACAGAAAAACTTTGGGTGACTGTCCAGGTAGTGAGATGTCTCTGTCAATTCTAGAGTTTTGGAAGTTGCTTATTTCTCGTTTACTTAGGTAATATTATAGCCTTCTGGAGCCTTTGATGGAGTTGAAGAATGGATAGTTATAGTTTTCCTTAGTTATGATAAAAGATAAAATAGATCTAAATATTGTAACTGTAGTTCTTGCTTGATAACTGTTTTGTTATATGTAATTTTGCTATGTTAAAGTTAAAGCCTTCCTTTTTGTTTAAACAGAAAAAGGGGAAATGGTGTAGGAGGATCTTCTTTCTATGTGTTGCTTTCATTGGTTGAATAAAGAGACTGCCTTGGCCTTTTGATAGGGCAACCCTTAGATGGGTGTAGTATACAGAACAGAATTCTGGGAGGAAGAAGGCAGTGTGGCAGATGCCATGGCTCTCCTCTCCGAGATGGACGCTGGTTAGACTCATGCCGGTAAGCCACAGTCAAGTGGCAATACACATTGATGGAGATGGATTAAACTAATATGTGAGAGTTAGCCAATAAGAGGCTGGAGATAATGGGCCAGGCAGTGTTTAATTAATACAATTTCTGTGTGGTTATTTCGGGGGTTAAGCTAGCCGGGTGGTGGAAACGTAGCCCGCTCCTTATTACTACACAAGTGCCTCCAAGTTCTCCCATGATTAAGCCGCCAGACCTGGCTCCCACTCTTTACTTTCATATCACAT